TCTGCAAGGAGGGAGATCGAAACGCAGGCGAACCAGATTCTGTCGCTCGAGGCGGCGTTGCTCGCACGGCCTGCAATCGCGCCCGACGCACCCGAGGCGGAAAAGGATAAGATGATCACAGAGCAGACGCGGACGATTCGGGAGCTGGAGATGGCTGTCAGGGGGTATGAGGACAATCTGGGGGCGCCATTAAGGCAGGTGAGGGAGGATGTTGAGAGGGAGTGGGAAGGGAAGGTCGAGGCGGAGAAGAGGAAAGTGGCAGAGAAAGAGGCGTGGGCGGAGGAGCTCGTGAAACAGCTGGAGAAGGAGAAGAAGGTTAGTCTTCCTCGGATCCTTGAGTAGACCCTACTTGACAGCCTCGGTAGATGCGTGCCCAGCTAGAGGAAGAGCGCAGGGTACTCGCCGCGTTCGTGAGCAAGTTTGACTCGCTCACCTCGGGCGGCATCGGCGTTGGGCCCATCGTCCCGCGGTCCTCCGGCCCTGCCGCGTCCTTCAACCAGCGCCAGAAGCGCGGCGGGAGCGCCCTCGGCACCATTGACGAAACGAACTCCCCCGTGAAGATTGATATGTCTCGCGGTGGCGCAGAGCCGAGCTTGCTCGAGGAGCAGATGCAGTGGGACGGGATGATCGACGACGAGAGCTTCGAGCTCGTCGACAAGACGCCCGCCAAGACGCGAAGGGCGCCAAGTCCGGTCAAGGACGTCCTGGCCAGGGGGCGAAAGGAGAACCTGCCTGTATGAGGTGACATGATAGGGAGCTTCAATCTGCTAGACAGTTTGTTGCCTGCGTTTTGCCTTGATTGCTTTGTCTAGCACGTCTGTTGTACTGTTTCCTTACCCATCCATTCAGGAAGTATACCACACACATGTCTATCTTTGGATTTGCGATTCGCGAGCGCTTTATCACAGCGTCCTTGCCAAGTCTCGCCGAAGCATCACATATTAGTACACGTGCCCTCCCCGTGTTAAAAGAGCTGATGTTAAATGAAATAACTTACAGCCAGTGCGCGAGCGGCGTGACTTAATGCCAGTGAGGGCGCGTGAGACAAGTGTTGTCGCGGATCGTGACTTTTCAGTTTACGCAGAACTATCACGACAGTCTCAGTCACGACCGCCTCGTCCCCGTCTCGTCGCTTTCTATTCTGAATAGTATGGTCCGATAATATTCCGGCTGAAGAACGAAGCTGCCAAAGTAACTTACCTCTCCAATCGTTCGAACAATACACGACTTTTTATTCTGTCTCAATCCTGTCTGAACCGACACCCGCTCCAAGGAGCAATGCCCCCTGGAACGCCTTTTCGGGGCTTCATACACCCTTATTCTATACGCGTGGACGAGTTCTCCTGCTCCCCAGAGGTCCCCTCGGCCAAGCTCTTTATGCTCTCGCACACGCACACGGACCACATTGTTGGCCTCAATGCCAAGTCTTTCTCCAGCAAGATACTCTGCTCACGCGACGCCAAGGCTATGCTTCTTGCATTTGAACCATTGAAAGAGCGATTATTGAAAGATAGAGATCTTGTAGGGGAGGAAAGAAGTGGGAGGGCGTTCGGACATTTGGCGGTTAAACCCGTTTGTGTTGGGACGAGGGTGGACTACGCGGGAAGCAGAGACTTGCTGGTCTGTCCCTTATGCTTCTTTTTTCTTGTATCCCCTGTACTTATTCCCGGCTACATAGACCGTGCTAGAGCTTAACACCCCCACTAACATTGAGCTCGAGAACAACTCGACCGTCACCATCACCCTCATCGATGCAAACCATTGCCCTGGTGCTGTAATGTGAGAAGATGGCTTCTTTTCATCCAAATTGTGCTAAGGCCGTCTAGGTTTCTTGTTGAGGGTCCAGAAGGAGCTGTTCTGCACACAGGAGATATGCGCGCCGAACCTATCCATCTCGAGCAGCTTGCACGACATCCTCGCTTGCGGCGGTATGTCTCCCCTGCACGCAGTGATAGGCTGAGGCGACAGTCTTCACACGTTCCGCGTCCTGACGAAAATATTCTCCGTGCAATCTATCTGGATACTGCGTGCGCGTTCTCCAATGTTGTACAGCCTGGCAAGGTTCGCCTTTCTCCGACAACGCTTCGGCCCTGTTAATGTTCGGCAGATGGATGGGATCAGGGATTTCCTGAAGCTTGTTGATTTAATGCCATGCAACACCGTCTTTTTCATTAATTCATGGACATGGGGATACGAGGATATCATAATTGCTATGGCGCGCTTCTTCAACTGCAAGGCATGTGCTCTTCGTTCCTTCGTCTCATCGTCCTTTAGCTCCCTCTGTCAGGTTCACGTCGACAGATACAAACACGTCGTATACTCTCGAATTGCAGACGAAGCTTTGCAAGCTAGCATCACCCTTGATGCCGCCTCGACACATCTTCATGCCTGCGAGCGCTTCGACCGGTGCGAATATGCGCCGAAGGAGGGGACAGTCGACGGGAAGCCAGTCGTGTATATTAATCCGGTTACATTCAGCGTCACAAAATGGACCAAGTATATGCAGGAGACAATGGGGCAGCTCAAGGCCAATAGTCTGCCCTCATGTCTAGTTCGTCTTCCTCTTCGTCATTTTCTCACCTAGATAACCGTAGTGGACAGCTCGTTCCGCTCGCTCGCCACTCGGCTCTGCCTGAACTGAAAAGCTTCGTCTCGCTCTTCCGCCCGCGCTCTATCATACCTAACACACTCGATACTTCCTCTGACCTCCTTCGCACCCTCTCCTGGCAAACCATTGATGTGATGTTCAAGAAATATCTTGCTCCTGAGGGCTCAACTGCCGTTGCCCCCCCTCTTCCGGAAAATTTGGTGGTAACACTATCGAACCCAGAGGAAGCCGGTGATGCGGCGCTCAAGAATTTGCTTGGGAACGACGCGGATGGTCTTGCGGCGCGGTGGGCAGAGAGTGATACGCGGCTACGCAAGCTCGAGCTCATGGAATCGTACCTTTCTGGACCGGCTCTTAATGTCGTTCGCACCTTGCAGGGCAAGCCTCCTCCGGGGCGTCAAGTATCCATCCGTGACAAAGCGGACCTCGCGGCGCGTATCAAACTATGCAAACGAGCCATTGCGCTGCGCCCGGTGCAACAATCCGAAGAAGAGGAAAGCCAGATTTGCGATAACCATTCGCAGATGGCTCTGCTATATTTCTTTGATAATTCTGCGGACGTAAAGCAGGGTGCAGGTGTGAATGACTCGCGCTCTACAGATAATGGCGATCCCGTCAGTCAGGTTGCCAGTAGCCCCCTAACGCCGCCCAGCTCCTCGCCAACTAACGGTTCATCCGCCTCGCGTCAGACTGGAGCGAAGGAGCGCCCGCCGACGCTGCGTCCTCGTCTGACGTTCTCCCATGCATTGGAGAACTATGAAGATTGGTTCAATACACACTCTGATGAGGTTGAAGAGGCGCACCGACGCAAGGATGAGGATGCGCACTCAGACGAGCTGTCAGAGCCAGAGACGGACGTAACAATGGAGGTACCAGAGCCGAATGAGGAACAAGTCCCCTCTACCGAACGAGACATAAAGAGAAGGCCGTCCATGACGCAAACGACAGCGGCGAAGCGTGTTAAGAGCGAAGACTCCCGACGGAATGTGTGTATTATCGACTTGACACGCGATGGTAGCTCTTCACCACCGCCGCCTATGGACCCCCTGCTGCTGTACAAGAACCAAGAGCCATCTCCCATTGTTTCAAGATCAAGGGACCGCCCTACGCCTCCCGCAACAGCACGGTCGTCGCACATGCGGGCAGCTTCGGTGACTTCAATACCCAGCCAGCCACCATCTGCTCCGTCGCCACAGCCGACCCTCACCCAGCCGCTCACGCCGACGCCGACGCTGCCGCCCGTTACCGCATCGCGCAGAGCGCGCCACTCATTCTATATGGAGAAGCTTGCGGCTGCGCGGCCAGACATCGCGCGACATGCATCGGCGTCGAGTCCGATGACCTCACGGTCGGGTTGGAGAACTGAATCGGGGCTGCCGACGCCGGCTGCATCTGAGCCGCCGCGGGCGGGGCTGTCCAGGTCTGTTTCATTCTTGCCGGAGCATGGAACAGCGCCGGTCACGGTGCACACGAGGATTGAGGCATCAAAAGATCGAGAATTGACCATACCCTTTTCTCGCCAGACGACAGCCCCCTTGTTGCCAGAGGATATCCCGTGCGACGATACCCTTATCTCTGACGATGTCTTCCATGTCGCTCCATCCAGCGACGACTCGTTCCACACCGTCGGGCCATCTGACGACGAGATCGACTGGGCACGCAGCGAAGCACTGAGGGAGCACGTCGAGCGCGGGCTCAAGCACGGGAAGAGCGCAGGGAGCCTGTTGCCGAGATTGATTGGGGTTCCAAGAGTGTAGAGAGAGGGGCGAAACAGCTGAGGGTTTATCGTTATTCGTAATCCTATCGGGTGCTATTCGTTATTCTGTTCAGATGTGCCAAAAGTGGAGTCTTTTTTTGCGCTCCGGTATAGCAATCCAAGGTCAACGGGTTGTCAGTCGTGCCCCGAGGGTAACAACGGCTTTCATAGGAATGAGGATCATTGAGGACGGATGTTCCTGTGCCGATACCGTGGCAGGACTCTCATCGCCTCCAGAAGCTTCTTTCAAATAACATTCTTCAGCCCCGAGACCATCCGATCTCCGGCCCAGGCAAGCTACTAGTAGCGAGGGAACCGCACGACTACTACGTGCGCCCAGATGAATTGTCGTAGATAGCTTGAATATATGCGCGCGACTTTGCTCTCGACGTACACATCGTCGCACTCGATCGTAGTTGGCTCGCACACACACTCTGTCTCGCCAATCCTCCCTTTTCTACGTCCGTGAAAAACCAATGGCGCTCCGCATTCGCGCCCCGCTGTCGCGTGACCGCGACCGTGCGGTTCTCACGGCACCTCAGCCTTACTCAGACGTGAAGCGTATTCGGACGCTGCCTAGCCTGCTGGTACTGTGTATCATCGTCAAGGGGGGAAAATGGGTGCATCGGAGAAACTAGCCCACCGCCGGGGTCGGACCGGCAGCTTTCAGGAATCCAAACCACCTTAAGAGTCTGATGCTCTATCCGATTGAGCTAGTAGGCACGCCCGAACTTCAAGTTGACCAACTGTCATATCAAGTGTCATATACTCAACCGTGTTGTCTGCTCGCAAATATACCAGGATCAAGCATCCATTCCAAGGCTCGTGTTTGTATTCCCCGTCACCAATATCGCTTCAAGCATCCTCTATTCATATACGAGTACCTCCCGCAAGGTCGCATGCATTCATGCGCGCGGCGAATACAGTCCAAGCCAGTGATTGTGTACCAGTCGATATCGATGGTTAATGCGGTGGAGTAGCCAGACGATGCCGATACATGCACGACGCGGCGTGCGTGCGTATGAAACTAATACAGTGGGGTTGGAAGGCGGGGGCCATTGCAAACGAGAACATTGCAACAAAGGAGATCAGAGCATAAAGAGCACTGGACAAAGTGAGACAAGTACGTCCGCGAGGCACTAAGCACCAAGATCAAGATCAACGGCAGTCGCGCGGTCGAGAGGGCCGCAAATATGTTATCATGCGCGCGCGCTTTAGTTGGCGCCAGCATCGCCTACCGCTCGTCCTCTGACGGGTAGAGCGAGCTGTCTGCCGCCGCTGTTAGCGGCGAGCGCATAGAGCGCGCGTCGGGATCTTCGTCCACGAAGCGCACCGAGCGCGCGGGCGACGCCGAGCGCGCCCGCACCCGCGCCTGCGTCTCGATTTCGCGCAGCGAGTCGAGCCGGCGGTGAGCGAGCGGGCGCGGGACTGCAGAAGTAGCGCGCCCACGCGGCTGATCCTCGTCTGGCCCCAATTTGTCGTCAGCTGGCGGCGCGAGCACGACCCTAGACGCGGACCCACTGCGAGGCAGGGGAGCCTCGGGTCGCGCAAGGACCTCCGCGGGCGATGGAGCGAGGCGCGAACGGCCGTGTGCGGGGGGCGGCGGGGCGGGCCTTGAGGACTTCAGCTGTGAGAATCGGCGGCGTTGGCGACCCTGGACGAAGACCGGGGGCCGGAGCGCCTTCTTTTTCTTACGGCTTTCGTGGCTCGAGCTCGAGCTCGCGTTGCTGCCTCTGCCGCTGCCGCGGTCAGACGCCCAGCCACCTTCATCCTCGTCGTCTTCGGTCTTTGGATTTCCCTCGCGACCGTGGACCGAGCTTCCCTCTCCATTCTTGTGCTTTGGGCTGCTCCTATCCATCTTGCCACCCAGGGCCGTTGCATGCACAACCTCACCCGCAACCTCCTCAGCCGCGTGCTTCGCGCGCCTACCCGCATCCCCGGCGACATGTTCTGCGTCCCTGAGAGCATGTTCTGCTGCGTCGGTGGCGCCGCCAAGGAGCGCCTCGACCGCTCTGTTCACATTGAAATCCTTGATCGGGAACAGGCGTTTGAGCACCTCGGGCTCGCCCGGCCCGAATGCGTTTTTCTCGACAATGACCTCGATCTACAGCACCGGAGTTAGTTCGCGCAGGGGCAGGTAATCGCAGGTGCGTACCTCGTTGTCCGCGTCCCGTCTCTCTATGACCTTGTGCGGACCCTCCTTCCACTCCGTCACGTCCTGCTCCTCGACATCCTCGGGCAGCGCACTCGCAAACGTCTCGCCTTTTGCGTCCCTTGCCGCATCGTGCTCCGCCTCCTTTATCTCCCCTGCGCTCCCACTTGAACTCGCGCCACTCGACCCCGTCGTCGTCACCGTTTTCTCCCGCATCGACGGCGCCGGGTCCTCCTCGACGATCTTCTCTTGCACCGGCAGCGCGCCACGCTCTGCCGCATCAGGGTCACGATTGATCACTACGTCCTCTGGTCGGCGAACGTGCGGTGTTTGCAGTGCCCAGTCTGGCAAGCTCGGCTGGCGTGACCACGTGCGCGTGCCGGTGTAAGTACGCGTCATGGTGTGCACGCGCCGACCGAGGGAGAAGAACGGGATCGAGAGCCCGTGGATAACAATCGAGACGACGACCATGAAGGCGACGATCGGCTGGATCGCCGCGGCGACCATCTCGGCGTCCGTCTCAGGTGTGCCGTCAACCCTCGGAAGCTGTCCCATCGCGAGGGTCGAGATGAAAACCGCGCCTGTGTGGGCCTGCGTGAGCGATTTGCGCCGAGTAGAAAGGGAAGGTAGGACGGACCGATGCCCATGGGCCCGAAGTGGCCACTGAACAGGGCCTCGCGCCAGTTCTTTACATCCGGAATCCATTTATAGAGGGCCAGCATGACCGGCAGCCGTCTGAAGAGCAGCACAAGCAGCGCGATCACGATGAGCCGCCACACGGAGATCGTTAACTCTGCGTTCGAGAACGCGTTGAATGGTGTCCAAGCGCCGACGAATACAAACGCCGCGATATTGAACAGGAGATCAATGACGGACGAGAAGACGGACGCCTCGGTCTGACGGTTGAAAAAGCCGTCCCAAGCGAATGCGGTGCCGCACGCGAAGGCGGCGAGCAGGTCATCTGAGCCGATCAGAGTAGTAACGCCGATAGTGAGGAGCGCAAGCGAGACATATTGCGCGACGTAGGACTGGCGATCTATGAGGTCTTTGTGCTCACAGAATTTCATGAGGTACCGGAAACCGAGGCCGATGAGCGAACCGACGACGACACCAAAGATGACCTCGTCTGCGCATACGGCGACATCAGAGAGGAAATAGCGGACCGCTGGAATAAATTACTTACATAGCCAGAGGATCAAGAACCAGTCCTTGACGGCCTCCCTCGTCGTACTGTCGATAATGAGGTAAAGTGAGATATACAGAAACGGGAACGCGGCGCCGTCATTGCAGCCTGACTCCGCGGCCAGCAGGTGTCGCAGATGCGCAGGGACGTGCTTGTCCGCGTACTTGCCACCAACAACGGCCGCCGCAAGAATGGGGTCCGTCGGCGTGAGGCACGCAGCGATCGCGAGTGACGCAAGGAAGCTAAGCCTCGGGATTAGGGCATAGATAAAGGCTGCCGAGACAAACCAACCCTGAAGTTGAGTTCAGCCAAGCTGTCGCTTGGCAGGGGAGATAACAGACGCACCCATGTCATGACTGGTGCGAGGAGGAAGAACAAACTCTTCCAATGCTTTCTCATGTACGCCTTGGGCAGTTCGACGCCGATCGCGAACACGCCGACGGCGAGGACGACGCGCGTGAACTCCAGAGTGATCTGATTCGTAATTTCTTCGCTCTGGTTTCCCCAGGAGCGCGGGTCAAATATATTCGCGCCGTAGGGCCCTGGGTTGGAAAGAGGGTCAGATCTGCTCAAATCGTGCATGTGCGAGCAGAGATCTTGTACGAGAGATACAAACGCGGCCAGCTTGCCTTCATCCCTCAATTCACGCCCTTCTGCAACCAGAGACGCACTGAAGGGCGTTCGGAAGGGCTCGGAAGGGAAGACAAGCTCTAGAGATTACCGGCGCATTCGGCGGTCATGAAAGGCCCGCAGCAGCACCGCGAACGCTGCATTCCTTAGTGAATGAAGATGGCCGAAGGCCTCCTGTCTATGGATCTCAAAGGAAGATACGCCGGCATGTCAACACGATCTATCGCAGCAACGCCGAGCAAGTGAGCATATTTGACAGAGCCGAGCTCAAGCTCGGCGACGCCAGGTGACCGCCATGCACATAAATAAGCGCACCCCTAACCCTGCAAGAACGCGAGGCACGGGCCGCCGGAAGTCCGCCTCCAGAAGCCGTCGCACCCGAGCAAAGAGCATGACCGTCAGGACAAAGAAAATGTTCCTTACCGATTATGACACCGAACAAGAATGCCCAGCAAGCCTCGCCGATGTAGAGCTGCGAGCGGGAAAGACGTCATCAACACAGTATGCGCGGCGGGACAGGCACGCGCGGGCGTACCTTCTCGCGGATGAAGAGCGAGAACATGCCGAACTAGGTCCGCGACGGTCAGACGCCTAGGCGACTAGGGCGCGGCGGGGAATACGCACAAAAACGACGAAGCCGCCGAGGCAAGCATAGGCGACGTGCGGGATGCTCACTTCGGTCTGGTCGGCGAGAAAATGATGAGCGGTGAGTAGAAAGATAGTCGGAGGCGGCGTACCGGAGAAAAGTGAACCATGATGGGAGCTAGCGATGAAGGCGGGCGGTAGTCGTGTTAGGGGTCGTAGGAGGTCGTACGCGCAGAGGCATGCGCACTGGGCGAGAGTGCGACGAGTCGTAAGGTAGGTCAAGTAGGACCCGGGGATGATGAGCGGAGAAAGTGGAGGAGGTAGTGGTGGTTGATAAGAGGCCCTGTTTAATAAAAAAGAATCCGGAGAGGCTCATAATCGTCTGGGTCATATCGCCGTGGCGCCCACACGTTTGGCGCTTGCCTCTTCTGTCTCCACTCCTAGATATCGTAAGTCTTGGCCTATCCTCCGCTTTCGTACGCCCATTCTGCTTGCAGTGAGCCAAGCTCCGTTATGTGTACGTAGTTTAAGGTCGAGCAATGAACGAGACGGCGCGGCCGACCTCCTCGGAGAGGTTGCGGCTTTTCCGCTCGCGCGCGGCTTGTTCACACAACACGCTTGTCTAGCGCGCCCACTGCCCACTTGATCCATACCCAGCGGGAACACGCACAGCAAGCACGCAACTCACTTCAGCCTGGCGGCACCCGTTCAGCAGCACGATCATCCACGCTCGTCTCCCGAGCATCTCCATCGACATCCCGCCGGCTCCATGCGTGGATTCTCCCGCGCTTAGCACAGCCAAGCGATGCGCAGCCCAACTGCGTCTGTCAGAGGACATGCTTCGTCGACCCCGTGCCGCACAGAGGCCGCCCGAATTCCGTCATGGTCGCGCCGGAGCTTGGCTTTCGCGCCTCGAGGCCCATTCTCAACGGCACCGCAGGCGAGGTAAAACCCGCTTTGGCGACGGAAGTGCATTTACAGCTTCTGGCCCTCATACAGCGTGGCCTGCCGCGTGTTCGGCCTGCATGCCGCTGTGCGTAATAGGGAGCGTTGCCTGGCCTTTAGCACGCCTGTCCGGTCCGTACTGGACGCAGACGGCGCCCAGGGCGAGGGTGGGTTTTCAGGGCAACCGGGATAGACGTCCGGCTGATTGCGGTCACTCGTATCCCCCG